TTCGAAACTTTTCTCACTGAATCATACTTCTTGAATAGTATCTTCTAATCCTAACCTCTCCGATTACTTCTAATACCTTTACTATCGCTTCTACTATTGGATTTGAATTGACAATTACATCTGTGTGTGCTGAGGTGGTATGGCAACATGAACTGATGTACTTGTGTACGAAGTTCTACGTTGCAACTGACTGACTGACTTATTGGGCCGTTACCTGACTAGTTTATTTACGAACCTTCTCGTCAACGAATACAACTATTCTGCGGCGTATGAACGTGTGTGTGTGTATGTTCTAGGACGTGATGTAGTCTAAATATCTGGTCTCTACATCGACGTCCAGGTCGAAAACCAGCCTGGTTTACACGAGCTCTAGTTAGGCGTTGGAGTACTATAAAGGTCAATATTTTAGATACTATATTAGTTAAACTAATTCCTCTGTGATTATCGCACGAGGACTGGTGCTATCATTGATTGAGATCAGTCAGATGAAATTATGCACTGTTCCCAAATTTTACGTAAGATCTTAGTTAGTCTTACAGCTAAAACTGAACCACCATTCTGCTGCTCTTCCTCTCCTCTGATTCCTTATCGCTTTCTCAACGTCATAAAGAATCAGAGGACTTGTATCGATTTGCCATTCAGGGTGACTGGAGATTGTGTGCAACCGAAAGTATGGCTAAAGGGTAGTTGAATCGATCCCTGAAGTGTTTTGCTCATCGATCGAATCTTCTGGGTTGAGAATGAATGTTACAAACATCGTTTTCTGAGATAGTTGCGTTAACAGATGGATTCCTAGTACCAGTTTCCTTGATAAGGCGGAACAGTCGTTTCACACCGCTCTTGCTTTCGCTTCCCACTACTGTTTTCGACTATTGAGTAAGCTTTTAATGCTTTGTTGTGAAATAAATGTTCTGTACAGTTTCTGAATATCATACCCAGGCGAACCTTGTTTATGCGACAGTGGTAATTAGAAGCCAAATACTTATTCGGTCAGATAAGTTAAGTCATTTACGTTAACAACATCTCTACCACAAGAAGGTAGTGGTAGTGTACACCAGTGGAGTCTGTTTACAGAAGGACAAGTTCACTACGCATCAGTTCGCTACGTCCCACTGAGAAGACTGAGGCAGGCGCGGAAGATTGTATTGGGCAGATTTACACTCTTAGTCAATTAAAAACGAAAACGTTACATTGAACACTCTATTTGCACACCATCTTTGAGTCGTGACTTCCAACGCTCCATCCTTCTTCCATTCCTTCTGTTGCTTCCTTTACTTCCTGTTGGTACTCCATTTACTCCTTGCTTTTGCTCCATTTGCTTTCCGTTTTCCTCTAGTGACCGTGAGAGTTCTTCTTTCACGTCCCTTCTTATACTACTTATATCGTTAGTATAAGTAGCACACACCACACCACCATCTGGTTGCCAAACATGACCTGTAAGAGTAAAGGATATTCGTAGGTTATTAGTATTGCTCGTATATCCTAGCACATTCGAGTAGGCAATACTGTTATCAGGCAAAGAATTTGATTCTAATGCGATATGACAACCTGAACTGATGTATGTACTTCCAAAGTTCTACGTCGTATCTGACTGACTGACTAACTGATGTACATCCCTAAACATCCTTGATATCAAGATTTATGTATTCATTATTGAATGTAATCCAATTTTGTTAATCATTTTTTCTTTCACACTGTTTATACCATAAATTTGATTCGTAAAAAATCAGTCAGTTCTGTCTCATGCGGACAAACCCATGAAACGAATATTGGGGTATTGATTTTTGTTCTAGGTGACCTTGAGAAGCGGAAGTCGCATTCTCAAGGTTACCGGCAATTCGATTCGATGACAGTGATAAAATGTTATAAAAAGTAACTTTTTCCGACAGAACGCTTATTATTTTTCTTTGTTATTTCTGTTTTCGTAATATTCTCACTCACTCACATATGACCCCTGTGTTACGTGTGCGTGCGCGTGCCTATTCATCACTTGAAGAAACGCTCTGAATGTTGTGAAAGACGACCTACTAGCCAAAATTGATAATTTAACATCGTAAGTTTTTTTTCTGTCTTGCATTTAATTTACGAAATGTTTTTTATCATAAGTCTATTTGTCTTGTGTTTGTGCGTGTGTGTGTGTGTGTGTTCAGTTGACTTGTTCGTTGCCAGAAATTGTATTGAGCAGTTTTTCCATTTCTGTTAGCGTTACACACAACTATAACCACTGTCCTGTGTGAATTAACGTTAATTGATATGATCCAGCAGTATCTGTTCACCCACCAGTAATAGGTTCACAGGATCCTGGTGTGCATATTATATACCATTCGTTTGAAATTAGGGTTTTTCAACTTGCCTATTTGCTAGAACTGCCCCCTCTCCTTGTACCCACCAACTCGATTAGAAGCCCTAGTCGGACACACACTTTTTGTCCTCTCGATTTCGTCGACAGCAGCCGCCACGAAAATGTATTGGGTCGGACTTCTCCGACATTGGCTATATACTCTATGTCTGCATGAAAGCATTTAGATAGCGAGAGAGAGAGAGTGAACTCTATACAATCTTAGCCTCCTTACCAGAGCATTTGGAGGGCAAAGCTGTATACGTTGACCCATTCACTTACTCATGTGCTGCGTATGCCTAACCACCGACTGCCTCGAAGAGCTTTGTTTTGTAGTGTAGGAGTAGATTGGAAGAAAGTCAGGGGCGGCCAAACCAAAACATGGCAGAAATCCATGAAGTCATTGACAAGTGGACTTAGCCATGTCGGTAATTGTCGACTACCTGGTTGGGGTCCGCAAGATGATAATAATCGATGGTTAGAGACCTTGAATGACATGGCTCAAAATCGTTCGGAATGGCGCCGGTGCATTTGTGTTCTTTGTTTTCTCTCAAATCCTAATCTTCTGCATTCTTCAACACCCCTCTAGTTTTGACTTTCTAAACTTATCTCACTGAATCACATACTTCTTGAATAATATCTACTAGTCCTAACCTCCTCTCCGATTACTTCTAATACCTTTACTACCTCTTCTACTATTGGATTTGAATTGACAATTACATCTGTGTGTGCTGATGTGGTATGGCAACATGAACTGATGTACCTACATACGTACGAAGTTCTACGTTGCATCTGTCTGTCTGTCTATCTGTTGATTAGTATTTGTGATTGTATAATTGAACAAATTACTTTCTTTAATTAGTAATCACTTAAATAAATTTTTTTCTCATAGTTTATTGTTAATGATTATTGATTTGTGTGATTAAAAGAATAACTGTATTAATAATAATAATAATACTATTTATTCTTATTATTAATAACAAATAAATTCTTTATTTTTTTTAATTAATTATTAGTGAAAATGTTTCATTACGTGAATCAGTCGATATGTTAACTCATTCACGTGTTACTTTACAAAATGAATTAAGTAATATTGATCAATTGTTGAATGATGCACGTTCAGAGATTAATCAATTAAATGAGAAATTATCATCTTATGAAGAGAAATTACATTTAGTAAGTTGTGAGTGCTTTTGCTCTGTTTAATTTCATTTTATTGGATGATTGAACTATTAAGAGTGTACCCCTTAGTCGGCAAACGCGAGAACGAGGATCGAGGATCCGGCCCGCGTCACGACATGCTACTCCGAATCCGATTATTTCAACCCTCATACTGAGTAAAAATAAGAAGACAAGACTTGATATGAAGTAGAACGTGTATTCTACAAGCATTGAGAAAGTACGAGGTCCGAATCAAGAAGAGAATCAGGATCCTGGACTAGGGATCCGGGTCCTTGTCCTGGTCGTGGTTATAAAACGTTACAGATAACGTGTATTTATACATTTTGATCGAATAGGAAACAGCATCGGAGTCTGTGACATTGACAGTTAAGACAACCAATAGGAAGCAACATTTGAAGTGACATCGGCAGTTAAGACAACCAATAAGAAACAACACTGGAGCACGTGACATTGATATCTAGGACGGCCATAAAATTGACCAGTATTAATTAACCAATAAGAATCAACCAATAATAATTCTCTTAGGATATTGGATCAATCACAAATCAATTAATCAATCCGCTTGATTTCGATTTGAACTGAGAATTCAATGGTTGAAAGTTGAACGCTATTAAATTGTAGCTTAGGCAAAGTTATTGTATTTCTGTTGTGAATACTTGACAAGTGGTTTGAGTCATGTTGGTAAATACACGGGCTAATTACCTGTTTAGGGTCCGCGTGATGAAAGTTACCATTGGTTATAGACCTTAAACGACATGGCTCAATGTCTCTCGCTCGTTGTTTTCTCTCAAATCCTCATCTTCAGGATTCCTCTATCTTTCTCTTTCTAAAGTTATCTCACTGAACTACTCGAATCATATCTTCGAACTGTTTATCAGCGGCACCGATCTCAGTGACATCGAACTCAGAGCTTTTGGTATTGCTCAAGTTCTAAATAGCCAAGTCAACATTCAACAGTGTTTATACCTAATTTTAATCAATTCACAGTATCGTGCAACCATCATTCATTAACTTTTGTGGGTGAATGCTTCGCGTGCGAAACCAAATGTCCTTGTTTCCATTCCCATTGCTAAGTAGTCGTATGCTTAGGGCAAAACGACAATCCAATGCTTTCAGGTTCTCAATGTTGATCTAGCATAGATTAGTTTATGATTCGAATGCCACTCAACAATCTTCACAACCATTGAACCAGAGAAAAAAATGCACTAACTTTTGATGGATGTTAGACATTAACACAGTTAGTTACCGATCGGTCCGAAAGTTAGGCGTTCGCGCACAAGACTGAAAGTCCCGAGTTTGAATCCTGTAAGGTGCAGGAGTCGTGGATTGCACACTGTCACTGATAAGTCCCACACCAGGTCGAAACAACCGTCTATTACTTCCAGGTTTGCAATGATGGTCTAACATTGATCGATTCCTAATTTCAACTATGTCATTAACTTTTTAAGTTCTAATTCCGTCTGTTTATTATTTATCAAAGGAGTCAACTAATCCAGCTCATGTGAAACGTTTCACACGATCTGAAATGGCACGTATCCTAGCTGAACGTAATCATTATAAAGAACGTTTACTTGAATTACAAGATGCTGTACGTTTTACTGAAACATTACGTGTTAGTCAAAAAGAACATGGTGAATTGTTGGCGGCAAAAACAACGTCAACAACTACACCATTGCATAAATTCGATATTATCAATAGTCCAGTTAGTGGTCCATTACAAAGTTTACAAAAATTGTAAGTAATGAGAAGTTTTTTTTAAAAAAAAATTATTTACCATGACTATGTTGTTTGTTTGTCGGTAATGCAGTTTTTATTACTGTTATGATGAATGATTTCTTAGAGCATTTACTTAAATACTCTACTTTTCAATTGTGGTGCGAGCTACTTATAAGTAGTATATTACGTGAGTGTCAACGTAATGTCTGGCACCAGAAGATGAGGGAAGATCAAGAAAGGAAGAGTGGGAGGAACACAATGGAATTTGTATGAAACGCATGAATAGTGACAATGGATTGATGTTTTGCAATAGGAACAGTCTAGTTCAATATGATGAACTGATCTTTTGCAAATGAACGACTTACGATATGGTTTTCCGATTTTACTGAGTAACTCTGTAATTTTCGTTAAATACAATCTGGTTGCCCCACCTGTGTTCTCGTTCACTACACAAGGTAGATAACATTGTAACCCATAAGAAGAAATACTGTCTTGTTTTACATTAGTCCATTAGTGAAAATAAGTGAATTATATTACTTAACTTCCATATCCTTAGATCAATCAGAGTTAGACATTAGCACCGTTGGATGCCGGCTTAGTGGTCCGATGGTTAGGC